AATAAATTATTTATACCACGCAGACACAATTTATATAGCAGGAGTTTTAAAAACTTTAAATAAAGAAAATTTTAAATATGATTTATCAAAAATTGACTGGGATGATATTACAAAGTCCATTGATACTAACACATGTTTCCAAACGTTTATTACTGAAACAACATTGATTTTAGATCGTTACGCTCCACTTAAAAAAGTCAGTATAAAAAACTTCAAACGTCAATTCAAACCATGGATTACAAAAGGAATTATAAAATCTATTCAAGTGCGCAATCTTTTCCAAAAAAAAATGTTTAGATCTAAAGACCTTATTAAAAAAAAAAAATTTGAAAGTATTTTTAAAAGATATAAATATATGATAGTTACATTAACTAAACTTGATAAAAAAAGCCAAATTAAAAATTTTTTCTCAGAAAATATAAAAAATCTTCGCGAACTTTGGAAAGGTATTAACACTCTAATTAATGTAAAAAATTTGAATCAATCATCTCCCAACTGTTTACAAGAAAATGATACATATATAACTGACCCGACTTTAATCTCTTAATCATTTAACATTTTTTTTTACAAATGTTGCTCATAAACTCAAATTCAATATTCATTCATCTTACATTAACTATCAAAAATATCTTAAACATCCAAATTTACATAGTTTATTATTATATCCAACAAATATTTCTGAAATTTCATCTCTTATATCTAAATTGAATCCAAAAACATCATTAGGTCTAAACAGCATTCCCATAAATTTTCTTATAGATTTTAACTGCTATTTTTCAAATATTCTTTCTAAACTATTTAATATCTCATTTATAAATGGAAAATTTCCTGATATTTTGAAATTATCTTGCGTTATTTTAATATTTAAAAATGGCTCTAAACTTTTATGCACTAACTACAGACCTATTTCTCTTTTATCTAATATTAGTAAGCTTCTTGAAAAACTTATGTATTCTAGAGTGTACTCTTTTCTAAACTCATTTAATTGTTTAAATGGTTTTTAATTTGGTTTTCGATCAAAACATTCTACTTGCCATGCATTAATAAGTATAATGGAAAAAATCAAGAAAGCTCTTGATACTGTTTATTTCATTTGTGGCATTTTTATCGATTTACAAAAAGCTTTCGATACTGTTGACCATAGTATCTTGATTTCTAAATTAAAACATTATGGAACTCGTGGTATTGTAAATGACTGGTTTCCATCTTATCTTGCAGATCGAAAGTATTAATGGTTTCAATTCTAGTTATAAATCAGTTTTGTGTGGTGTTCCTGAAGGTTCTGTTCTAGGTCCTCTTTTGTTTTTAATCTACGTTAACGACCTAATCAACTCTGTTCACTTCTCTTCAGTCCATCTGTTTGCTGATGATACAAATCTCTTGCACATCAACAAATCGTATCATTTTTTATGTAAAAATGTTAATTCGGATCTAAAAGGTATAGTTTACTGGTTAAATGCTAACCTAATATGTCTCAACACCGAAAAAACTGAACTAATTTTTTTTTATCGGTAAGAAAAAACAATTTCTTTAAAAATGTTGAAATCAAAATCGAAATTTATAATAAACGGCTATATCCTTCAAGAGTTATTAAATATCTTGGTGTATTAATTGATTGTAATGTTTCTTAATGAACAAGCAAGAAAATCTCGAGCTAACGGTATGCTTTCAATAATTCGTCATTATGTCAATAAAGTTACACTTAGGAGTATTTACTATGCATTACTCTCATCTCATCTTAGCTATTGTTGCCAAGTTTTAGGTCAAGTTGGAAACTATCGCATTAACAAGTTGCTATCGTCTCAGCGTAAATCCATCAGATTAATAAACTTCCAACCAATTAAATCAGATATATCAAAGTCCTTCAAAAATCTTTTCCTTCCAACATTTCAAGCGCTAGTAAAGTATGCTAATCTTCTTTTTGTTTTTGACTCCTTAAATAAAAATATACCATCTCCTATCACAAACTTGTTCACAGAAAGTAGACTATTACATTCCTACTCGACTAGAAATATACACAAAAGTATGGTAAACGATCTATTGTTTATCAGTGTGTCTGTGAATGGAACAGGAGCCTTACATGCATTTTGAATGAGTCTAAAAAAATATATCCTAAAATACCTTTACTCCATCTTAAACAATATCAATTTAAAAAAGTTCTAAAAAATATTTTATTCTAACTTTTTGGCATTATTATCCTTATGATTTAAATATTGTTTTAGTTTTCTTTTCGTAATTATTACAATTATCATCAGCACTTTTTTTTTATTTTTTTATTTATTAGTAAAACCTGCAAATTGATTTCTACATGTTTGTTTTGATGTATGTTTTATGTGTTTTGGTTTGTGTGTTTACGGTCCATGTGTTTCAGTGTGTGTCTTTGCTTATTATTACTTATATTATATTAAAAATTGGTGTCACTCCTTTGATCAGATTTCTGTATGAGTGACACCATCCTAATAAATCATTAACTTATTATTATATTAATATTAGTTATTATTATTATTTTTTCATTGTAATTATTGTAAAAAATACTTATTATTACTATTACTATAAATTGTATAATTATATTTTTTATCTTATGTTATTATTATATATTTTTGCTATTATTATTATTATTATTATCATTATTATCAAAACTATTGTAAAATAATTTACGGAAAATAAATAGCTTGTTGTTGTTGTTGTTGTTGTTATACGTCCTTTGTTTTTCTTTTACATCAACAGAACCCATTACAAAGGCATTTTTTCATTTCATGGTGTAAAAGTTAGAAAAAATTTGATTACGACGAGCAACTGTTATTTTACTTCTGCACTCTAGATTGCAACCACAATCTCCGTTAATAAAAATCTTTGGTTCAACTACTTTGCCCTTTTTTGTAACATATCTTTTGCCTGTTAACATTTTCTGGGCTTGTTCTTAACCAACAAAACTTAAAAAAAATATTTTCTCTACAAAACATGCATTTAGACTTATATATCGGAAAGCAAACATGAACATGCAAGATCATTAGTAAAAGACATGCAATTGATGAATTTATGTGAAATTAATATATTAATATATCAATATTAAATTAATTGAAGTAAAAAGTATTATTCAATAAATTAATTATTAGCTTATATTTTTTATGCGTAAATACAATAACAGCTTAATTCCGAAAAATCTTTATGACAAATTTATGAAAATTTTGAACGAAAAGTATTTTCTAAGAATAAACCAATTGAATAAGTTATACTTATAAAATGCCAAGAATTGATAGCACGTATTTAATGGAATAACATAACAAAGACCAAATTAATGGAACACTATTCAATAAGAAAAAAAATTAAATATGGTTGAAGTCTTTAAACTCCTTCAAGTTTGTAATAAATTTTTAAACAAGATATTTTTTTGTAAATAAACAATGAATTCCGTATCTATTATTCTTTATATTTAACGGAGTCAATATATTTGAATGACAAGTAGATGCAGTCGTGGCGCAATTCTGGCTCAGAACCAAGAGGTTTAAAAAATCTGGTTCTGCAGACTTATGCCTACATTAAGTAGTCACCGATGATATTATACTGAAATGCTTTTATATCTAATTAATAATATTTTCAGGTCAGGGGTATGGTCACCATGATTACACAGTATTTTATAGTTGAAGGTGTCTTAATTATTGTATTAGTTCACCTGTAATTAATTATGTATGTTTGTGTTCTTTCTGAACCGCTGGCGCAGTGTTTGCAATTTTAACATATAATTTTACCATATAATAAGACTTAGGAAGATCATAAAAGTGCTAGCGACAAACATGATAAACTAAAAACTTTAGTAAGCAAAAACAGGATTTGTTGTTATATTGATTTGGATGCACAGATATAAAGGTTGAAAATCTCATATAAATATAGTAAAATTAAGCTGGTATATTTTTTTTACTCAAAATTTGTCATCATGTGCTTAATCTCAAACATTACCAACAGCCTTACTCAACATCTGTGCTGCAACAGCCTTACTCAACATCTGTGCTGCAACAGTCTTACTAAACACATGTGCTGCAACAATCTTGTCTAATACCTGTGCAGCAACAATTTTACTTAATACCTGTGCTGCAACAATCTTACTCAACACCTGTGCTGCAACAATCTTACTCAACACATGTGCTGCAACAATCTACCTTAATACCTGTGCTGCAACAATCTTATTTAACATCTGTTCTGCAAAAATCTTATGCAACATCTGTACTGCAACAATCTTACTTAATACTTGTGCTGCAACAGCCTTACTAACTTTCTGCACTGCAAGAGTTACATTAATTTCAAAGTTTGTTTAATTTGTATTATAGTAACAAGTTTTGGTACAAATATCCTTTAGTTATGCCTAACAAAAGAATAAAAAATCATTCAACTAACTGTTTCTTGATATTTTTATAAGATGTAACACATTTGCAAGAAAATAATAGAAAATATAGTTTTGTTTTTTGGGGAATAACTTTTGAGCGATAAATTGCATCTTTGTATCTTATATCATTTCTCATATTACCTCAAATTTAAGATTACAAGATTTTAAATATAATAATAAAAACTTATCGCGAACTATCTTTTTGTTATAAACATATTATATGTAAATAAAAATCTGATAGACTTACTTTAAATTTAACTTATAAAAAAATTAAAAACTCAAATAAAAGCTGTAAATTAAAAGTTTAAGTACAAAAAAACATAAAACGGGAAAATCCATAAATGTTAAATCATATATATATGTATGTATGTATATATGTATGTATGTATGTATGTATGTATGTATGTATGTATGTATGTATGTATGTATGTATGTATGTATGTATGTATGTATGTATGTATGTATGTATGTATGTATGTATGTATGTATGTATGTATGTATGTATGTATGTATGTATGTATGTATGTATGTATGTATGTATGTATGTATGTATGTATGTATGTATGTATGTATGTATGTATGCATGTATATACAATTACTGTTTACTGTAGCAAACAGTATCTTTCATTTTCTGATTATCAAATATTACAATATTTACTTCATTGCATTTTCACTGAGTTGAGGTTGCAAAGTTACCATTATTTAACTTCGACCGCTGAGCAGATTTATAAGAGAAGGATCGGCTTTAAAGCCGCATAAAAATTCTTTAAAAGTAAGTTTACCATCTTTATTAACGTCCATTGCAGAAAACATTTTTTTAACCTTTTGCGCAGGTGTATCTTGAAATGACTTTGTACCTAGCATTCTATAAATAGCACTAACTATTTCTAACATTTCATCTTCCGATATCCACCTGAAAAATAAGAAACTTGTAAAAGATTTTTCTTTTTACAGGAAGTCAAATTTATTTTAACTTTAATCATGGTTTTTTAAACTTTAAAAAGAAATTAAAAATTGTTGGTAAAATGGCAAACACAACCATTTAAATGCTTAATAACATTTTAATGGAATATAATGATGACTTTGTACTTAGTTTAATTTGAAAAACTTAAGATATTTTGTTTAATATGAAACATTTAAAATATATATTTTTAATAAATATCCTAAATATACTAAAGTTCGTTTTAAATTGCCGTTTTGATCCGAAATTTTTACAAATGTAGTTTAAGCCAAAGTCTTGTTTTTTATTAAAAATATGAAAAAAAATTTATATAAAACACATGATATTGAAGTTGGTAAAATTATAGATAATATTTATAGATGGGTTTTGGGAATGATAAAGTTAATTTAGAGCAATTTGTAACCGTTCCCAGGTAATGTTAAAGTAAAAAAGATAACAGTGAATAAATAAAAAAGTACAAGTAAATAAACAAAGGTACAACAGTAAAAAAGATAACAGCGAATAAAAAAGATTTTTTAGTGCATCATTAAAATAAGAACTTGTTTTGAGAATTTGTTTTATCTTAGAAAGTTGTTTGAGCGTGTGCCTTTCAATATATTTACAATAAGATTTAAAAAATGATTTCTTAAGAGTTATATTTTTGTCTATGGGGGAGGGGGGGGTAGAGACTTCAGACAGTTTTTATGGGGGAGGGGGAGGGGTAGAGACTTCCGACAGTTTTTATGGGGGAGGGGGGGGTAGAGACTTCAGACGGTTTTTATGGGGCAGGGGGGGGGGGGGTAGAGACCAGTTTTTACTCTAATTGGGCTTATTTAATAACTGCATTTTTTAATTTTTTTTTTTTTTTGTCAAACTACAATGATTAACGTATCTTTTAACATTTTAACTTTTCTTTATATTTCTTGAGTTTTAATATTTAAAAACTTTAATTTTAAAAATGCTAGTCGAGTCACCCCACATATAGTCAATTGTAGGTCTATTGATTCATCTGAAAACAGTTCTCCAAGGATTGCATTTTTAGAGGTTTTTCCCTGTAGAATCTTCTTGGTTGTCTTTTTTGTTAGCTTCTTTGCCATTCTTGCTTTTTTTTTTGCTGCAAGTGCCTCTTTTCTCCGGGGTATCTGTGGCTAATATCGATCTACCTTTACGCAATGATATAAAGATATTACCAAGATACCAGACTTCACCATTTTTAGTGAAGCCAATTTAATAATGCGTAATACGTTGGAGGCCATCATTATATTGGGCAAAAGCTTTCAGTGCACAATGGGGACTAACAAAAGAAAAATGGCTGAAAATCAAAAAAACTGCCAATCGATTTGAAACTTTGCACAGTTATAAAAAAGAGCATTTTAAATTAAATGAAAAAATAATTAAATGATATTTGAGCCATTATTTTAAAAATAGTCTGATAAGCTTTTTTTAGCAATCAAATGACGTTCAGTTATTTTTTTCACTTTTAAAAAAATTATTTATTTCAAATATATATAGTTTATATCAAAAACTGCAAAAATTAAAGTAAAATCGAATGCATTTTTATATAGGGGATAGCAGCGACAGAGGGAAGTGGAGGGTTTGAGCGTTCCCCCTCCCCCAACTTTTCCCCAATTTTCAAAATAAAATGTAAAATAAAATATAAAAATACGAATAAAATATTTTCTACAAAAGATAAAAGCCTGTGGTGCTATCTATGTTGCAATATCTATGTTGCAATATCTATGTTGCAATATCTATGTTGCAATATCTATGTTGCAAGTAATTAATAGAGAAAAGTTAATGTACAAAGTATCTCGTTCAATTTTATTCATATTTATAGATCTTACTTTTATATATATTTAGATTTTTGTTTCTATTGTATTTTAAAGAAAACTTTAAGAAGACCTAATGATCTCATCATAAAGCGTTTAATGAGTTTGTACTCTATTTCCATCTTAATTGACAACGCTTATATTCTTTAAGAAAAATTCGCAACTCCTTGGGTAAAGAGTTCAAAACTATAACCACTGCGTGGCGCAGCGGTTTGCTATTTTTTATTATAAAAAATTATAGCATCATCTTATTGATATATTTCAGAATCTACATTTGTTTCATACATATCACTGTTTCTCTTACTTTAGATGGCATCTTGTATTTTTCAATTCTGTGTTGTATTCTTGTACTTGAAAGAATTGAATCTGAAATCTCCATTGCACATGTAAATACGTCAAAGAGGTTGTATTGGCGACTATATTTTCGAGCATGATTGGTTTTATCTGATCTAAAAAGTTTATTTCTATTTTCTGAATCTTCTTTAGAATACAACCAACAAGAAAAATTGAATTTGATATAATTTGTATTAAAAGTTTATGTAATGTGTCATAGGAAATTTTTGAAACATAATTTAACATACCGATATGCTGTTGAGAAGCAATATTCATTAAATTTGATTGGGTCAATTGGGAATCGATAAGAAACACAAACAAAAGTACTCTTAATCTTTGAAAAAGCTCCAAATCGATGTCTCAAATTTCAGACAAGAGCTTTAAATCTTCGAATGCTCTTTTTACAACGTCTTCTATATTACTATTGCCACCGCTTGATTTTGACATGTCTATATGAATGTTAAGTTTCTTTTTGAATTGAGTTTGAATTTCAATCTTCCTTGATTTTATTTTTGCTTCGTTTTCTTTTTTATGCACTTGCCATTGATTTTCAGGCAAAACTAATTTATAAGAAATGTGTAAAGTTGCTTTAAAACAACGTATATGCATGTGAAAAATGCTTAGATTATATTGTAGAGCTAATTGGTTAACATTAAATACTCTTTGTGTAAAATTTACTACTTTATTCATATCTTCACGTTTGCACAATACATCACTGAAATGAAGATGTCTTTGTAATAAATGCTTGAATCTTTCCATCTATTAACGTCAAACACAGCCTACATTTAACAACCTCTTGTTGTTCAACAATTTCTTTATCATATTTTTCCTTTAATACAATTACGTCTTACAATCTTTACTTTCCTTTGCAAATTCAATTCTCTGTGGACGGCAAAATCTAGTAGACTTAGGAATTTAATTAGTCTATAAAATATTTCCACTGCTTGTTTGCAATCTTAAAGGAATCATAGATGTCACAAATAATGAACTATCACTAAAAGTTTCACATAGATCTTGATTGAATCTAGCTTGTTGCGAGCTAACGACAAAGCCATAAGAAACTATAAGCATGCATTGAACAATAATAATTTCTGCAATATCTTTCTCAATAAGTTCATGCTGTAATTTACTTATTCTTTCCAGAGTATGTCTTAACAGATGCTTCTATTCTACTTTGATGCAATTTTCTGTTTGCAATATTTTATTTGGACAACATTGAGATTTTTCAGCTGACACCAAATTATAAGGAGGGAAAATATTACCACCTTGAGTTTTAGCTGCAAATTTTATTTGATTATACTGATCTTTAGACAAATTTGTATCAAAAAGAAACAAAAATGCTTGTTCCGATGGCATTCTCACAGCTATTCAATACAGCTACCAAATTTTGATTTTGAAAAAGTTGTTTGATTAAATGAGATAAGTCTTTTTTATCATGTTGTGCAGCAACGGTTGCAGCAAATCTTAGGTACATTTCAGTTTGGGTTCGTTATTAGAAACAAGATTAGTAATAACTCGGTGTTTGGATCTGCCAGACATCTCCAAAAATGGCATAGTTGGTCTTCCTCTTTTCGTTTTTTCAGAACTGGGCGGCTGACGGTCACATTCAAGGTCTATTGGATGCTCGTATTCAGTTTGAAGCTAACTTCCATGGTATTTCATGAATCTTGAAGAAAAAGAACCTTGCTTTCTCCAAAGTTCGTTGTATCGCGTTGTTTAATTATTTAACATTTTTTCTGCGTTAAAACATGTTTTTCTACTTCCTTTAGGTCTCTTTTAAGTTTTTCTTCAAAATACAACAAGCATTTTTCAAAAGCTAGATAATGTTAATCATTTTTATAATTTAAACAATTTCACTATAGTTAATAATCATTTATAAATGCCTATTAACTATACACAATTCACGTTTTTATTTATCTTTGAACTTTTCTTTTTGAATTACCAATTTATAAATTAATATGCTTAAAACAGCAGTTACAAAGTAATTAAAATAAACTCAAAATAAGAATTTTAACACAAATTTCTGTGAGCATTAGTTTAAGTCTAATGCTTACTCAACATCTTTTTTTAAAATCAAAACTAATCGGTTTTAAATGCAGTTACAAATAAAATATAAAACTGTGCAGTGGATCATAGTCGAATGAAAGGAAATTTTCAATTTTTAAGTTTTGATTAAAGTTGGAATTAAAGATGATTAGTTAAAAGATGATGTGATGAGTCTACAGCCAATATAAATTTGTGTTGGTCAAAGAGGATTGCATTGGCTTACAAACTAAAACAAACGGCTACTTTAATAGCCACAAATTAAAAAAGATATATTTGAAAATATATTTGCATTTAGGACTGTAAACGAAAACATTGTAAAGTATTTTAATCTTTTATATTTTAAAACTAAACATTTTTAAACCCTTGAATAATAAAAATTTATTTGTTTGTTGTCTTAATCCAATTGATGACTTCCTTAAGACTTTAATGGTATAATCCTGGGCATATCTGAAAATTCGAATTTTCAAGTTATACTCACTTACCTTTTTAACAAACTAACTACAATGTAAATCTTCATTAACAGTCTAATGTCATGGCTATCTTAATTACCATGATTAATTGTGTTAACAAATTAATCATGGCATGATTAATTTGTTAACACAATTAATCATGGCATGATTAATTTGTTAACACAATTAATCATTTTCTGCTTTATTTTTCGGTCAGAGGTGATTTTTGATTTTTTAAAATCTCTATCACAAATTAAGAAGTTAAATATTTTTTACAGAAATAACATCCCTTGATGGCAAAAACAAACCACCACAATTTTTCACATTATTTAACGAAGAATAAGATTTCAGATAGGAATATTTGTATAATAAAATATCAGTTAATGATTGGACACAAATATTACAAGAAATTATATTTATCAACTTTCTGACTATAAAATCAGAGATATATCTCAGTATTGCTTCTTTGTAGCTAGTCATTTGAAGTTCATCACAGTACGAAGAAACTTCTTCTAAGTCAATATCGTCCTGATCAAAATTATCAACGGAACACAACCTTTTGCTTCAATTAAAAGAAAAGATAGAACCATTAGAATAGGGTTTAAACATTAAGCAGTTTGCATGATTCGATCCAACTATGGAATATCTCAGCAGAATTCGTTTTAAAGGTGACTTTAACTGTACTACATCAGGATTGTTATTGTAACCATTTACCTATCATTGTATTTAAGTTTGGCCAGCTATTTTCACATTTATTATGTGTTGATTAAATTCTATATGTTTTCTTGAAAGTTTTTTTGCAAATTTCAAACCTTCTTGTAATTCAAACAAAGCTTTAATATAACTCCATTTAGTATATTGGCCATCACCATCAATAAAAAACAAAAATTATTAAGAGAATCTCTTGCCAATTTAAGCATATAACATGGATCAAGGAAAATGTGTATCAGTTAGTTGTTATATGAAAAAGTACTGACTATATTGTCAATGTCTTTGCCAAAAATTTGATGGTACAAGTACCAAAAAACATGATGTTACAAATATCAAAAAATTGGTACTTGTATCATCAAATGTAATACTTTTGATATAAAGTTCATATGTTAAAGCCAATTTCAAAATGTTTTTGATAAAACATGTTAAATCACTTGCTTTAGCTTTATTCGATAAAACATAACCAATTGGTGTTTTCCAATTTCCTCAAAAACCAACTAACATGAAAACTAATGCCTCAGTAGCTGAAATATCAGGTTTGCATACAATAATATCCTTGCCGAAATCACAAAAACCAATATAGTGACCAGAACTTTTGTCATAAGTTATATTGTTTTTGATTGTAGATAAGTCTATATTTTTTAACGTTTTATGAGTATAGAGTAAAATATAAATGATATTTATAAAAGTATACAGGGCCGTCCCAAAAAAATTTTAAAGGTGGTGGTGGTGGGGGGGGGGGCGTGACGTGCCTGTCTTTTCCCGACTAAAGCCAAAAAAATCTTTTTTGTCCTCTAACTTATCTTAAAAAAAAAAAAGAAGGTTCTCGTTTTCCGACATTTGCCGACTGCCAACTATAAATCCAATTTTGTTAACTCCAGTATCCAATTTGCCGACTAATAAAATTCATAGGGGGGCTAGACACTCCCTTGCGCCTCTCCAACGGGACGACCCTGAAAGCATATATATTTAAAGTTTATAACTTTTTTTTGTTGTTGCAACAATTGGAAAAACTATTAGCGTAATACAGCGTGGTCGCAAATTTTTGATAAACATTAGCAGATATTTTTTACGATATCCCATTATTAAAAATAAGTATTTAACGTTATGGTAAATGATAAAATAGATAAAAAGTTTATCATGTCGACTTGTTCTAAAATAGTTTGACCAAAATCAGTTAATTACTTATTACAATTTTTTTTTGTCAAAAAGATTTATTCGCCAATCGCATAGAAGTAAAATTTCCAACTTTTAACTTTTGTTTTGAATAATTAAAATACTAATTTATTCTACTTAATTTATTAGTTTAAAAAAAAAAAATCGAATTTTTTTAAATATTTAAAACTTTTGCAAGCAATCATATAAAATGAAACTTGATGTCCAATTTTAAATTAATATTTAATTGCTCGTTATCTTAGCAGCAAACGTGCAATTATTTTCCATTATATCCGCCGGCGGGAGGCAAACATTTCCGTCTCTAATTTGGTGGCAACAGCCAGTTGGGAGGCAGAAGCCATTGAAGGCGGCCTCCAAATGATTCTGCCTGAATATAACTATCATAAAGAACTATTAAACAACTATTGAATATAACTATCATAAAGAACTATTAAACAACTATTATATACATATAAACAATTAGTATATAAAAATATGTGATACTTTAGTATGATTCCCGGGGGAAATGCTTATAGATAAATTCTGACTCTAAGCAATTAATATAAAGCACATTTACAGTAAAAAAGAAACAATGCTTACCCATTTTTATCTAGATCGTACATTGAAAATGCCCATTTTAATTTCTGATCTATGTTTCCTCGAATAGTGACACTTAAACCACACACAAACTCTCGAAAATCAATTTTTCCATCTCCATTTTCATCAAAAGAGGAAAACACGTGTTGAGCAAATGCATTAGCGTCTCCGTCAGGAAAAAAACGCTGGTACATTTCTTTGAACTCGTCACACGTAAGCGAGCCACTTGGATACTCTTTACAAAAATCTACATAGTTTCGAAAAATAATGTTATACAAAAAATATAAAAAAGAAATACAGATATAAAAATTCTAAACGTTGATGTTGATGGAATAGATTGAGATCTGTTATACCGTGTCTATCTTTAATAAGGTTTAAATGTTTTCTTTCATTTATCTTCACTTAAATTTTTTTTTTTTTTAAAAAGTAAAATTATGGTAGATTTTTTTTCTTCTTAGAAATCTGAAAAGTTTACACAAAAAATGAAAAAGTAATAGTTAAAAGTAGTTCTACATTTACTCTAGTTTAAGATCTTTTAAGTGAGCGTTTTAACTAATCAAACTTTTTAGTTTTAAAAAAATGTGTAAAAAAAACTTTTAAACTGAAATTGTAAATGATATTGATTAGAAATACCAAATTTTAAAAGTATTAGTAACTTTTAAAATTTTAGAAAAATAAATTTTAAAAGTTACTAATACTTTTAAAATTTTGGTATTTTTAAGTTGCATTCCTTTTTTAGTCTTTTTGAATTTCTCTTTTGCAGTTTCTAATCGCAAAACTTCATTACGCGAAGTGTTAAAGAATTCTAATAACAGATTTACCGGTTACCTCTGACTTAGACCTATAACAAATAAGTTCGACTCGTCTACTGGGTAAACCTATAGACGCATTTTATTTCCATTTTTAAAATATCCTATTACATGATAAATATCTTATAGAATAGTAAATGACAAAAAAATTCGATTTGTTAGAAAAGAAAAAAAAAGATATTTTGGAACAATATCAATAGAAGTTGTAAGAGTTTATAGACATGTATTTGGATACTTTTAAACTATAAGTTTCAAATTTGTAATCAAAGCAACATTTTATCCTAGGTTATTACTGCATATAATATTTATTATATAGTTAAATATTTTTTCAAATAAATTGATGTTTACATAGATTTAAAAAATTCTTCAACGCAAAATCTTGCGTTGAAGAATTTTTTAAATCTAAAGGATTTAATGCAAGATTTTACGTTAATATAACCTCACCATTAAGAACGCTAAAATAAATTCGCTGATAAAAAAAAAAGTGCGACATCCTTATAAACTATTGGTAAAAGAAAACAATAAATATAAATAAATAATACATATATATAAATACGTCATTTACATTGTAAATAATGTGTATATAAATTACTGAAATTGATTTACCTTTGTAGTACGCACTAAGTTCTTCTTCCGTAAACTCAGTCTGCTCTCTAAGTTCCAAAATATCAGTTGGTTTTAATTTACTATTTGGTTTTCCCATTATACAACTTTTTGGGTTTTGGTTTGTAAAATGCTAGTACTGATTGCAAGTTAACAAAAAAATTATTTTAAAAGATATTTATATAACTAATAGTCAAAACTAAACGGTTGAGATGTCAAAACAAACAAAAAGTGAAATTTCTTTTTCTTTATGAACTATAATATAGGAGTATGCTCAAAATATAAACAACGTACAAAATATAAATAACAAGTTATATATTTGCATCGAATGTAATTCTTCTACTTACCCATAAAACATTTACAACAATTAAATTTAATGCACAATAAAAAATGGGATTGTTTGCTTTCCCATGGCATTGCAAATATTTGTGCTTACTAACAATAACTGATTCTTCATAGTATATTTAAGATAATAGTCGAAATGTTTCTCTAAATTTATGCTCTTAAAATCTATTATATTTTTCCTAATACCTGACACAATTTCGTACGTATGATTGTTCTCACAAATTTTGTAATAATATAATGAATAAAAAGTAAGCAACATTTAGTAAGTACCATAGTCACACTTCGATTGGTTACACTCTATATTATGTTTTTTTTTTTTCAATTGTTGGTTACAATAAGAGTATTATAAAACAATTTGCATTGTTTGGACGCACTTTAATAAGTTTAGACTTTCAAATGACACAGTCAATGAGCAAACGAGGCTGGAAAATAAAAACAACTTACGTGAAGAGCATAACTTACACGTTTTTAAACTAAAAACACTTAGTTACAGACTAAAGAAATAAAAAAAAAATTATTTTAAATTTTTAATATCTAGTTTAGAGGAAATAAATTTAATGTTCATTTTTATAATTTTTGGCAATATACAGCCAATAGCTATATTTAAACGTTAAAAACTCTGAATATTTTACCTTTTGTTAGCATGTTTGTCAAAAAAAAAAAATACACAAAAAAAACAACATGTTTTATAAAAAATAGTAATTTGATAATGTTCTTTGTAAATCCGTCGTTAATGTTTTTGATAAAGTTTTTTTAGAACTTAGCATTTGAAAGGCTTGATAATGTGCTTTGTAATTATTTGATGATAATGTAAATAAATTGATAATGTTCATTGTGATCAGTGCGATAAGTTTTCAGCGTCGAGAATAGAAAATAAAATTATAGCGTTTATTTGGCTCTAAAAGATTTTTAAAAGAAGAAGGCTGGATTTAGCAAAATGTGTTGTTTTATGAGATATTATCATCAAACTAAAATATTATATTTAAACAATTTTTTGTTTGTTTTTTCATGTTTTTATACTTATGAATATAAAAAATGATTACTATGAAACTGCAAAATATATATATAGGGCGATTACTATGAAACTGCAAAATAAATATATATATAATATATATAGGGCGGAACAAACATTTATTAATGTTTGAGATAACCAACTTCCAGACATGGAACAAACCCCAAACATTTATATGTTTATTCTTATGACAAATAAGGATGATTGGCAAAAAATTGCAATGATTGGAGTCTGGAAACAAAAGAGCCTTAAAATTTTAACTACAACTACTCCAAATATGAGAGCAACAAGTTGATAAAACATTTTATGTATTATTTATAAGGAAATTTTATATTCATCGATAAATTTTAAATTTCATGCAATAATCTCTTTGCGTTCAAAAGTTATGACTTTATAAAATTTGTAACCCCCTCAAATTATTCAAACTTTAAATAAAGTTTGGCCAAGTAAATACTTGGCCAAACATACGAGAAATGTCTAAGTGTTCAAGATATTCTATACATTTCAACATGTGATTTTTAAGTAATTATATACATTTCATTTGATTTTTTTGGCATTATAGGTCCTTCTGATACTTTGAACTTTTTCTTTTTTTTTTTCTTTTCAAAATTAATTATTTTTAAAATCTAAATCTCATTATAAATTAAAAAGCATCGGACGATTTTAATTTTCAATAATTTTAACATATTAGTTATAAATAAAACATGTATTTTAGATGATTAATAGGCTTTTTCAAAAATATTTTGAACGAAGAATATAAATTTTTCTAAGTGAATCTGTGCATGTCACAATTTTTCGTTTTACCAAGCAAACTAAGCGTAACTAAAATGTAAATTTATTTTTTACTTATTTATTTTCAATTATTTTTGTTTCATTTATTTCCAATTATTTTTGTTTTATTTATTTTCATTTATTTTTGTATTACTTATTTTCAATTATTAAAGTTGAAATAATTTTTTGACAAAATATTTTTGTTGACCTAGTTATATGTTAGATAATTGCATTTAAATTCCTCGCATTGCTATCAACAGTAGAAACTTAATAAGAACGCAAAAGTCAAAGCTGCCGATGAAGTGATTTGTTTTTGTTATATTTACAATTTGATTAGACACTTGGGGAAAGTGTTGCTCTTTTAAGTGTGTTTTCAATTTATTGATTTTTTAGTTTAATAAATTAGTCTCTACATTCAAATCCGGTTTTATAATTCCCGATGGTATATTTTCACAAGGTCCGTAAATTTAAAAAAGTGATAATATACCTGAAAATTAAATTGAAACCACAAGTAATAACCGATAATAAAAGTTTACATAATTGTAGTATTAGCGCATCTAAGATACTAAAAGTAAAAACTTGCTACTTACTACTGCTACTGAGTTGCTACGTCAGGAATTAATTGAACGTATTATAAGAAAGCAAAAAAATGAAAGATTTAACAAGGTACTAAAAGTTTAAAACAATTTAAAAAGCAGAACAAAATAATCAAAATACAATAAAATGTTGTTTAGCAATTTTAGCTCAGCAAAACCAGATGATAATAAAAGAAGAAAAAAAACTTATTAAGGATTCAACACAAAAAGATGATGATAATGATAAAAGTATTTGTGTTTTGATGCTATTGGACTAGAAAAAGTCAATATTGTCAATCAATTCTAATGATTATTGAACTAGTTGATTTATCTTACCAGAAAAAAGTTCTCAGTGTTGCTAGAGATTAAAATAAAATTGAAGCATGCAAAAATAAAGTGTTTAACAAATTTAAATTTAACGCATCGACAAAGTTTAAATTTACTACTTGGTTAAAGAAAAAAAATTAAATAAAATAGATTTTGAATGTTCTACATTTCCATTTTCGTTATCAAAAACAATCTGTTGGTAAAAAATAAAATAAAACATTTCTATGGAAACTAAAAGAAGAACAAGCAACATTTCTAACTATGTAAATAACGCAAATATAAAACAATAAGTCTGAGGTATTTCAGACTCATTGTTTAAGGGAAAACTTAGATTAAAGGGTTTTTAAAATGTTTAAACAATTGTTTTATGCGCCCAATCATGCGTCATGATTGATTCTACTGGTTTTTCAAAATAACATTAAGGATGAGAGATTTGCGCCAGATTTAATTATCACTGAAAAAAATAATAATAATAAAGATCTAATGCTCTAAAGGAAAACTCAATGAGTTAAATAATAACTTAAAAACTTAAACTGGGCAATGAGTTTAAAATATTAAAAATAAATTAATTTTACAAAAAAAGGATTTAAAGTTTTTCATTTATTAAATATTAACTAGAAAAATATTCAAAACAGCATAAGTCCAAAAGGATTCAAATTTACTTTAGTAGAATATTAAATTTTTTTTTGAAATTTAATAGTAGAATATTGAAAATTCAATTTTAAAAGAAATTATCAAAATACATGATGAAGTATGCATGTTTAAAATGACCATGCATACCTTTGCATGGTCATTTTTAACTTTTGAGTACTAAAAGATTAAGATTGTTAAAGTGTAGTAATTATTAAAGATCTAAAACTTCTAACCTAACGACAGTTATTTTAAATGATGATTTCTTTCTTGTAATAACATGATGAATCTTTAAAAACATGAACATTTAATAAGTCAAAAGGCCGGGTGAATAAAAAAAAGCAATTGCTTTTTTTCAGTAATTGGAATCTATCAATCAAAAAAAAAATTTAAAAGTTTAAGTTTTAAAATTTTTCTGGTCTGGTTTATTAGCGTTCTCTTTAAAACTACATTTTATGGAAGAAACTTTTTGACTATCATGCCAGTCACATTTTTACTAATTTATATAAAGTACTGGTCAAAATTATAGCACAAATGTAAAATAAAAATTGAATGACAAAAGTTTATTGGAAGGTTGAATGAAAAGTTGTAATTATTATTTTTTTTTTTTATCTGAGAATAGCATTTTACTTTTTATAAAAACTAATAAAAATTGAAAATAGATTTATAGTTTACCTGTTTTAAAGTTCACTTAGGAATAATACAGAAAAATAAGCTGGACATAATTATAGCACATAGTACTAATTTCAGATTTAAAAAAAAAACATTAGAATTTTATTTAATATGAGAAATAATAAATCCTTTAGTTAGAAAAATTTGAGAAATACGATCTGGAACAGACTTTACCATTTTAATGCAAAGATCAATTAAAGTCTTGTCCCAAATGTCTTGAATTGCATCCTTTAAGTCATTTGTGTAGTAATTTTCGAGTTGTTGGTCAATAATTGAACAAACATTTTGGATCGGATTTGCATCTGGTGAAGTGGATGGCCATTCTAGGAGCGAAATATTTTTTGTTGCAAACCATTCCAGAGTTATTTTTGCTTTGTGACACGGTCCATTGTTTTGCATAAAATAACAATATTCAGCTTTAGAATCAAAAAGAGTGCCCATATAGTCAGATAATTAATACAATAACTTCTAAATAACGAGAAGCATTCAAACGACCTTCGTAAAACTTCAACAAACCTATTCCATTTGCAGAAAAACGTCCCAACACAGAAATAGTTCCACCAACACCTTGTGCTCTTGTTGTGAAATTAAATGGTAAATCTTTTTTATTAGGAAAACGACGTTCAAACTTAGGATTCTTTCTATTTATGAATTCAAAATATTTGATACTAAATATTAAATGATGCCATGATTTTGAGTCAAACCAACATAGTTTTTACACCAAGTCTTCTTTTTCGGAGCCTTATTTTGGTAACAAGGTATTTTGATAACAACTGTGTGCAACTTTTCAACACTTTTTCTAACAAATGACAAAAAACTGTTATTGTACTAATGTTTTTTTCTTTTGCTGC